AATGAGAAAACAACTGTGCGGTCCTATTTGATTCAGAACGTAACATTTAAACTCTCACCAGACTATTTGCCCATCGTATTCGGTGTTTGCTGCTTTATAAAGCCTTAAGATGCTGGCTGGGGAATTCTGGGAGCTGAAGTCCCTACATCTTTCTCAGCTTCGTTTTCCTTTTGACTAGAGTTACCAGGGATGGAACTGGGTGCAAAACAGGCACTGGAATGGCCCTCCCCCATCTTTTGATAGCCAGGGGCTATTTATCGCATAATGCAATACCTACATTTGAAGATATATGTACACACACACGGTCTGCTTCATAGTCACTAAAAATGCAATTTTTTCTGTAGGAGAACCTTTCCGCACCGCTTTCCCAGCACCAGCAGGGGGTGCCCAGGCCCTGAGGCTCCCCTTACAGTACTGTAAGTGAAACCAGATCTGGGCCTCCCCCCCCCCCCAAATTATTAATAGCACGACACATTTTTATGAAAGACCCTGAAACATTATGGGAAGGGTTTCGTCATCTCCGGCTGACGGCCGCCGGGGTGATCTGGCTTTTTTTTCTTTGCACCGAATGGTGCAAAAATTATAAGTCTCGTGGAAAGGCAGCTGTTTTGCACCCCTGACCTTGGCGGAAGACGTAGCCCTTGCGTGTCTTTGTTTCTGCAGAAATCCCTGAAATTGTTTCAAGGGGGATTTCCAAACTGCACAGGGTTCGTGCAGCCCGGTGAAACTCCAGTTGCCTGGCCCGAGCTGATTCGGGGCGAGTCCAGAGGGTCCCTATCCCACCCTTGACACCCCCCTGATTCGTTGGACTGCAACTCCCGGCACCCACCCACCAGCAGGGGAGGGCAGAGTGAGGAAATTTGCAACCAAATTGCCTTTCAGGAGTGCCTGTACGGAAAAAAAGAAATCCTCGAAAAGTCTTAAAAACTTTATTGGCAAGGGGAGATCTCCCCCCCCTCCACCTCAGAGCTTCATGGCTGTATTTCCAATTGAGGAAGTCTGGAGGAAATCTTTGGCTTAGAAGAAAACCATAATGTCACCAGTTCCCCAACTTTCTCTCCTTCCTTTAGCTTATGACAAGGGCTTACATTTAGAAACAAGGCAGCCTAAACGAAGGGTCTCTTTGGAATTAAAACATAACCGTTCATCATCCTGAGTCTGCAGTTTTGGTTAAGAAAATGGAATCTTTTTCTGGACCGGCTCAAATTTCAACCATCCTGTCTGCTTTGCAGAAATCTCAAGAACCAAGTCTGGCCTCCCAGATCCGACAAAATGGGGCTATGCTGGATGAGCCCAGAATTGTTTTGGGGTCACTTCTCCTTCTTCCGGATCCCCCATCTCCGTCCTTCCCCCTGACCCTAAAAATCCCACCTCTAAGCAGTTGAGAGTATGATGCATTTTATCCTTGCAGCTTTCACAGGCAAGGTTTCATTTGGCTGAGATCAGCGTTTCTCAAACTTGACAACTTTGAGAGGTCTGGACTTCAACCCCCAGAATTCCTGGCTTGGGGGATTCTGGGAGCTGAAGCCCAGACCTCTTAAAGTTGCTGCCCTTGAGACTGTACCCCGAGAATGCCGTGTAGCTGAAAATACGGGATATAACATTAAAGCATGGATGGGTGTAAGATTAATAATAATGGCAATAAGTATATATATAAAAAAACTTTCTTTGGGAGATCTGGGCTGCAGGAATCCAGATGAGGGCTAGGTGGCACCAGGGAGCTGGTTTCTCTGCAGGAAGGGGTCAGACTGCCTGTTTGCAGCGCAGAAACCTTGAATGAAACCTGAGTCCTGGCTTTGCAAAGGGTGGATCTTGGCCTCGGGCCGCTGAGTCAGAGAAGCATGGAAGTTCCTCCCAGCTGGTGATGCTGCAACTTAGAGGAAGTCACCTGTGCTGTGTTTTCCGCAGATCTTGACGGGCTCCCATGCCAGATTTTCCTGCCTCGGCTGGACGTCAGATGAGGAAAAGGCGACAGACAGAACCAGGACGAAGCAGCCACTACTCCGCACAAAGCCAGATTTCTGGGACAACTCAGAGAGTCAGCAAACAGGTTTATTCTTCATTCTTTTACTGGTTTGGTTCGAAGTTAAGCAAACTTGAGCACGAATCATCTGCAGTTAATTTTAGCTTTCTTTGGCTTGGTCTAAATTTCTTTCCTGCCTGTCCCCAAGTGTAAAGCAGGCTGTACTTTTAAGCTGATCTCTGATTTTTCCTCTGAAGAGAAGAAAATACCCTGAGCATAGCAGAGGTTCCCCCCCCCCCCCTTCTAGGATTCCTACGAAAGGATTTAAACTCTGCTCTTCTGTCACATAAAACCTGAACATGCATTGAGCTAAAATATTGATCCATTTAGCCCAGCGTTGCATGCTCTGACGTCAGCAGCTCCCCGAGGACTTAATCTCAGAAACAGCGTTTTTCCTCCCGACTTTTCCATCTGAGATCTTTCTGTCCAGGGGCAGAGAGGCTCAGTTTTTGACCTTCTGCCTGCAGACTCTTTGCTCTGCACCTCATCTCTGTATAAAAAGGAAGTAAGTTGTAATATTTTAACGCACAGACATGTCTGCAGCTTACAGTAAAGAGGCAGGATTGGAACAGGTGAGCAGTGACCTCTCCTTGTAAGGTGGTATGTGTTTTGAAGGGCGATGCGAACCCATGAATCACAGCATTTGCGCGATGAGGTCATCACACACCTTTCGTCATTTGGCCCTCTTCCTTCACCCTGGACATCCCTGTTAAAGCATGAACCAGTGGCTTTTAGAAAATGAATCTGAGTCAAAACAAACGAAGAAATATCAACCCCAGGTGGGCTGCTCTGGTGCTAACTCAGAAACAAAATAGGTATGCACAATGGACATTTTCATGTCACAGTAACCTTGGAGTTAGACAATAGCCCAAGGCTTTCTCCAACCCAGCCATGTTTAATAGGCTCCTACCTTCCCCAGCTGTCTGGGTCTCTTCCATCAATTGCTGCCTCGTCTTTTTAAACTTGGAGGTTTTAGGGACTGAAATGGCACGCAAAGCCAACAGGTGGTACATTGTACCTTATTCCAGATCAGGACTGGCATGCAAATGCACTCGAAACGATGATTATTAATTTAGATGGCTTTTCCTTCGGTGGGGCATCAAGACCAACTGCTCCCAGGCCTGAACTTAATGGGAAGATCTCCAATAGCCCGCCTGGATTTCAGCGGCTTTAAAAACACGCTTCCCATATTGAAAAATAAACATTTAAAAAAAGGAAGCAAAGCTGAAACGTTGGAAGATTAGATTCTCCACATCAGTAGAAGCCACTGAGAAAAATAACCAGGCCCTTATTTTGTCTTTAAAAAGGGCCAGGATAGCAAAAAAGCCACCAGTTCAACTTGTGCCTCAATGGGGCTTTTCTGCTAAATGCCATAGGTCACCCTGTTACTCCTCAGTGTGGGGTACAAACCTGGCATTATGGTTTGTGCAGCCAACAGTGGCTTTAAAAGCCTGTGTGTCTGCAAGAAATATGGGAATGACTCATAAAATGATTCACTCTCTAGAGGACAGTAGAATTAGTTCTTCTAGTAGATCCAGCAAATTTGTAGGGCCTTCGAGTTTGCTGAAGCTTTGGAAAGTTTTAGGAGCGTATTCTCAAGTTCCCCAAACCGGCTCTTTCAGTTAAATCAGTAAAGAGACCGAAACTGATCAGGTTTAAATACTTAAGCCCAAGATGATGCTTAAGAGATTTTGATGTTCAAAAATGGAACCTCTGATTCTTCAGCTGACACATTCGTGCAATTGTTCCATCTGGTTTCATCTTATAAAATCCCTTCTCCTCTTCCGTCTTGATGCTCCCAATCGCTTCACCCAAACCTTTAGTAACACGTAATCCGCTTCTTGCTTGGCTGTGGTCTAGGCGCTCTCAGAAGAGTTGCTCAAATCCCTGTTGATCTCTGAGCTAACAGATGATGATTACTAGTTTTTTAAAAAAGTTAACAAACATCACAGCCCTCGCTGAAGTTCACGCGCAGGCTGCGCAGTGGAGGTATTTGCAGATAATCTTATCACACCAGCTTGTAACGATGATGTGGAGGGATGGGAAGAGGTGGTGTTGAAGTGTCAGAAAAGCTTAGGGTGGTAGCTGGGGAAATGCAAGATGGGGAAGTCTCCGTGAGATTCATCTTCCCAGACTAACAAGGATTCAAGGTTCAGCAAGGTTCAGCAGCGGTTTTGTGCTTCTGGATTCCCAGACATGAAGAATATCTGTAAACTCCTCCTTACGACTTTTAGACCTGCGGGTTTGATCATGTTGGATCTCCTTCTTTGTATTTAGTCTCTGCCCATGTGCAGAGAAGCTTGAAAGGGTTTGGGGACCCAGAATCCATCGCTAGCCGAATTCTGATGGACAAAAAGCCCTTTCCGACCAGGGAGAGATCCTTTTTTGTAGGAGTTTGTTCAAAAATAAGTCTTGTCTACTATATTCAGTAGGATTTTCTTGGGCATGCTGGGAAGGTCGCAAAAAAGGGAGAAAGGACTGAAAAGCCTCACGCCAAAAATCCTGCTTGGCTTCATCCGTGTAAGTCAAGCGCAAACTTAATTTCTTTTGACATCACTCAAAATCAAGAACCCCACAATAAACCCTTTGGTTTAGGAGCAGGGCTGGCAATCTGTACTTTCTCTTCTGTTCTTCAAAACCTGCTCACTTGTGGGGGTAATTGATGATCCCTTTGCAATATGCAGTAGACAGGGGTTTGCACATCAGCTGGTTAAAGGCAGAGTGCCTTGAGCCAGGTTGCAGTTACAAACTGCAATGTTGGATTTGCTAGTATATCAATTTATTCTCCAAAGAATTTAGCATTTAGGGAAGAAAGAGCGGGGGAAAGAGGAAGGAGAAAGGAAAGGGAAGGAGGGAGGGAGGGAGGGAGAGAGGGAGGGA